TTGGGAACACCCACCTATACGGGGACCGGATCTTCACTGACGAAACCCGGTGAATCGAAGGATCCGCGAGATTGTCATGGACTTTCGTGGGAAATCAATTTTGGCTGATTTCTTTTTTTCTCAAGGCCAGCGATTATTGGTACTTAACTGCACAGCTTATCTCCTCGCCTGGCCAAGGTGTTGGGTTATGAAAGACTAAGCCCGTATTTTTGCTTCTATACGGAGTTAATTTTTTTTCTTTTGGCTAAAGATGCATGAGAAAGAAAAGTGTGTACCTGACTCAGTGATCGAAAACGTATTAATCATATGTCAAATTCTTCACTGGATGTGAGGAGAATAAATAATCTCACAATCCCTTGTAAAATAAAAACAAAACAAAAAGAATACAGAGAGAGAAAAAAAAGAAACGTAAAAGAAATAGTAAACCGGGAAGGGTAAAATGCACATGTAAATAGTTTTCCAGGTGTTCGCATGACATGAAGAGCTTCGTCCGTCTTTCATGCACTGGCCGTTCCTGTAGCGGCGACTGTACAAGGGACCCTGACCCAGACAACACGGCGGCCTCTGTACAAATGGGCGTGTGTGTGACAGAGATTCTCCCAGTGCTCCTTGTTATACATTTATTATTTATTCTTGTTACCCCCGTGTGGATTTAACTTATTGTTATTAGTTATTTATTCCTGTTGATATTTATTAGTAGTTGTCTCCGAGGTCTGTTAATCCTCGGTATTGTGGAACAATAAATGATTTTATTTAGGTGTTTAGGTTTTATTTCTGAAAATTTCCTCCATCTCTCGGTTTAAAAGACTGGGAACAGCGCACTGACAAGAAACGTAATGAAAGACATAATCACCACAGCTGGGTTCATCATCTCGGTTATGAAAATGATTGTAACACATGGAAATAAAAGTTACATGTCAGGTTCTGTATAGAATATAAATATAAAAGTAAGCGGATTAACGCAAGCATACAGCCATACGGATGTGTATAATGTGTACCCGCAAAAGAATACATACAGACAAACACATATTCACACACGTAACCCCCCCCCCTACACACAAAAAAAAACATGTACAAAGTGTGTGTGTGTGAAAGAGAGAGAGACAGACAGACAGAGAGAGAGATACGTACATACAAAAAGATACGGTCGGATATACAAATACAAATATCTAAAGGAAGAAGGAGATGAGTGGGAGAGGGGAGAGAGAGGCAAAATGAGAGAGATAGTGAGATAGGGAGAGAAAAAAAAGACAAATAGACAGACAGAAGCAGAGAAAACACAGAGAGAGAGAGAGAGAGAGAGACTGACAGACAGACAAACAGATACTCAGACACAGGACCGATAAACAAACATAGAACATACATACAGATAAATAAAAAAAAAAAATGGTTTCGTCTGTCGCAGATTTGGTAAAACGAATCTCTATATCTGATATACTTTTATTCAAAACCGAAACTAGTAAAAAAGATGACACTATACGGATATCAATACGTAATGAAAATTATCGAGTTCCATTTCCTTTTCCACAAGAAGCTCTGGCACTGCCAAGTGTGTTGACTTCCCCTGTGGTATTTCTCTACCACACATCCCCACCCCCTACGATTCTTATTACTTGACAATATTGACATCAATCCCTCGTGTCCTGTCAAGGCACTTCTGTATTGCTGTGACCATGAAGTTGAACAAGGCACTTCCGCAGAAAAATGGCGCAAGCAGCTTTAGAAATCCTATTACGCTCCGTTTTTTTTTTTTCTTTTTGCATCAAGACGAAAATGTACTTGTGGCAGGTTGGTCACGATTGATGACACGCTGTCAGATTGGTGACACATTTGGCAATATTCATGTTGATGCTAAGGAACTGACAACTGATAGATTGGTTATGATAATCATTTGATCAGCAAATGGTTGGTGGTGATAATTATTTGAAATATATAGGCATTATATATTGTATATGGCCAATGATCCTCAACCTTTCAAGTGCATCTTCGCCTCAATAAGAAATAAAGAAAAAAAACAATATAGAAATGCATTTTTGAAGCAATGAATCATCATTCGACAAGGAAAAATAATGGACTACAATTTATGTACCTGAAAAATTCCTTAAATATATTTACATGAAACAATCAATGAAGACATCTGATTTAATTTCGGCACAGTTCACGCCGTCCATATAAATATATAATTAAAACCTATATCATGCTAAAAACGATACAGATAGTAAGTATGAACTTCGTATAGGCTATGGATCTGATTTTGCTTGATCACAGTCGTTGCATTTCACTCAGATCGGATTAAGTTTGTTTATTAAGAAAATGCGTACAAAAATGGATATGAAAAGTGTACATTTATGAAAATCGTCGCGAACTATCACAGAGTATTCACAACCTTATGCCGCCCTAACAGTCAAAAAGTCAGCCTGTGAAAGCGGTAAAGAGGAGACATTATGCGGCTTCTCGTATACAGACACAAATCACCATACTTTACACACATGTGCATAGTAAGTTAAGTAGTTCTTCGCGAGTATCACACAAACTATCTGGCCGTGAACACAATCACACACAGTTTCTGTCCATGAGGTCTACGTAACCCCACGAGATGTGCGACCCTCTACAGCAGATCTTCTTGTGGGATCTTCTCCAGGTCTTTCCTGACGAAGATGTAATCATCGCCAACGGAAGTGTGCAGGGCGTAGCCTCGGTCCTCCAGGTAGGCTCTTAGGGCCTCACTGCCCTCGGGGATGTGGCGGTGCTCGATGCACAGCACCTGAATCTTCACCTTCTCCCAGGGAAGCGTCTTCAGTACCTGCGGACAAAAGTGTTAATAACTCAATTTATTCATATTTATACTTTTCTCAGAAGTGCTTAAAGATTTAGAAACTATCGAAACTGAATGTATTTTATTTCTTCATAAAGCTCGGGCTTGGATTGTACACATAATTTCATCCTTTGTGATTTCGCGTCATTGTCACACCCGAGTCGTTCCCAACCCACAGCTTCTACTGCCGCTGATACTCTACCTGCAGCTCTGCTCCTTCTACGTCGAGGGAGAGGAGGTCGACCTTCGTGGTGTTGATGGCGAGGAGGAGAGAATACAGAGGGAAGCACTTGACCCTGGTGAAGATCCCCCGCCGGTTGGCCTCCTCGCCCTGGCTCGCTATGTGGCCCATGGTGTCGCTTTGCCTGCAGGAAATACAGAGACAGATTATATTTGAATTCATAATTGTATGGAAAGAAATAGTTATTACACCAATCTCATATCTTTCCGATGTACCCAGCGATTACTTTTGGGGCTAAATTACAATCAGTAGAATATATCAGCCCCTAGAGAGCGCCCTCGGGGTATAACTGCAACACGCACAATCACCGAACCCCTGACGAATTAACCTACTTGAAGGTAACCTCCCTGGGGTAGGGGCTGGGGGAGAGACAAGCGTTCACCAGGTGGGCCTTCCTGCCCTTCTTCCTGAGCGACCAGAAGTTCCACGGGTCGGGCTCAACCAGGAGGCCCTTCCAGCCGAGGTTTCGCTCCAGGTAGAGCGTGTTGCTCAGCTGCTCCCCGTCGTAAGCGCCCGCCTCCACGAACACTCCGCCGCGCTGGGAAGGGAAAAGGGACGCGAGGACTTAGTGGAGAGGAGTAGGAAGAACGCAAGAATCATCTTCTATGAATGGGTGATTAGTAACAACAATCATTGTATCGACAGAACTGGTAACATCGGTAGTATTTGTTATGACAATAATATGATAGTGCATTGTCAGAACGTAAATGCAAATTAAATAGGTTGAAATCGGTGCCAACGCTGAGAAAAAGCTTTAACTGTGCCGTTATAATTTTAGGAAAAATGTAAACACGCCAGTCATGCCAGTGAACCCTTTCTTATTTTTTCCATGAAGAAAACGAGTCTACAATTTCATTCCCCTTTACATATGAACCTTACCTTCCCCTTGAGTATCTTCTCGACCTCCTTGCTCTGCCCGTTCTGCGAGAAGTCGGTGGCGTTGGGTCGACTGAGTGCGTAGGGCGCGGAGGCCCCCTTCGGCGTCAGCAGGTGCAGCTGCCTGATGTAGGACACAAGGTCGGGGTGGTGCTGCGGGGCGCCCTCGAAGTCGTGGTCGCCCATTTCCAGCACCTGGCGCGGGGTCGGGTGACGACTCAGGGCTGTCCGAAATTAAGGGAAATCAATACCATAGTACGAAGCGCCAGAAAGAGCGCGCGCCCCATAGCCCAGCGTCAGACTTGAGCAAAGACACGTTCCCGACACGCGGCCGGACCCACCTTTGGCGTTGAGGAGGAACAGGAGAGAGATGATGGTGAGGACCGTGGCCAGGAGGATGGAGAGGGGGGCGGCGCGAGGCAGGCGCCCAGGCCTCGCGCACCACCACCACCAGTCCGCCCACACGCCCATCGTCCGCCCGCGCGCCTGCAGGGGAGACAGACGCCAGAACTAGCTGTTATAAAGTAGTATTATATCTTATCAGCCACATGAAAAACACTGAATTTGATTATATTCCAACTGCTCTGCATTTTGGGCAAACTAAAGCTATTACGCAAAGTAGAAAAACATTACACACACCACCGTCTGTGCCTCTGGCGGGGGTTCGAGGTTCAACATGAATATTATACATAAATTTAAACATGCACACTTACGCTCATCAACGAACAGATACAAAAATGAATGCATACACGCATGCATACTTACATATATACAACAGTTAAGTACGTACATTAACACCCACAAATATTAAATATATGTAAATAGAAAGATAGATAAACAGATACAAATATGGATATAGATGATGATAAAGATATAAATCAATATATATACACATATATGCACACATGCATTCATATATATATATATATATTATTATATATATAATATATATATATATATAATATAAACATATATATAAATACATATAATAATAAATACATATATTTAAATACATATATATATAATACAGCATATACATATATATATATATATATATGTATGCACATA